AATATGAGAAACAGACATGGCGGCACTCCGCGCCAAATTCAAATGGTATGAGAAACGTCACGAGGAGGGAAGGGTGGGAAATTCGAACTCGAGCGCACAAGCGCGAAGCTTAAAACTGAACCGTTAGGCGCCTCAATTTAAAAAACCAACGGTCACCTTAGACTACGGACAGATAAAATAAAAATGGAAGGAAAAACCAACCAGTAACGAATAGTGATCGTTACACTCATATTGTCGATTACTTTTATGACTATCAAATAAGATCCCTTATAGAGAAGGTAAGTTCATCAACAGTTACATATTTTACCTGCACAAAGAGATCAATGGATATTAATTTTATGTCTTAATATCAGGTGTTGGAAACCAAATATCAAGTGACTGACTATTGGTATCGTATTGAATACCAACATCGGTAATATCTTGGAATGTATTAATGTAATTGTTAGAAATGTATTCTTTACATTGCTCCTAATATTTTAATTTTTGCATTCTCTAGCGGAAGCCCACATTTGCATGGAATATTTTGGAACAAAGATGCACCTGACGTATCAAACATAGAGAATGAATCTGAAGAATACATAATGGAAGTCATTAAATATTTCTCAGACTTGGTTCAGGCATGGAATCCAATAATTAATCCTAACAAGTCAGACAACCACCCCTGTCGAATAAATTATGAAAATGTGACAAATTTTGAAGAAGATTTAGCTCAGCTACTCCATATGGTGCAAAGACACGTATGTTCAAATAATTACTGTTATAGATTGAACAAAGGAACAAAAACAAGAGAATGCAGATTCAAATTTCCAATGGAAATGCAAGAGGCTGCAACACTGAACAAAACTGACGACCATAATGAATTTGTATTTAGACCAAAGAGGAATGATCCTCATCTGAATAAATTTAATGCGTTTTTGATTCAGTTATGGAGAGCTAGCATGGATATATCTCCTGTAATTTCAAGAAGAGCACTGCTTGCATATTTGACCAAATACATATCCAAATGTGAAGTTCAGTCTACAACTCTCAAGGAAATATTCACAACCACCTGTGATTTACTGGATAGTGATCTGGCTGCGAAAAAGGTTATTCACAAAGTGTTCATGAAGTCGTGTGCAGAGAGGGACATTTCAGCGCAGGAGGTCTGTCACTCCCTTTTACGTTTAAAACTGCACTCAGCAGGCGGTCGTCAGTTTGTCATAGTGAACCTGTCGGAGAAAAAGTGGCTACAACTTCAACAACTTGATGAAGAATATCAAGGCAATAAACATGGAAAGAATACTGTAGAAAAGTACATTGACCGTCCTAATAGACTGGAGAATATTGCACTATGGGATTTTGCCAAGAATTTCAATGTCAACAGACTCAGTAATGTCAATAAGTCTAATATTGTTAGAGTTTTTCCAAAATTAAAGAAAAATGATGATGAAACTTTAAATGAAGAGTACTATAAACAACAAGTGCTGCTCCACTTACCCTGGAGAAATGAATGTGACATCAAGACTGAAAATGAAACATGTCATGAAATTTTTGAGGGACACAATTTAAGTAATATTTTACAACGTGTCAACAAACTAGATGTTGAAGAAAAGAATGATGTTGAAGATGAGTATGAATCATCAGAAGAGTCCAGTGATGATGAGGGAGACAATATCCTGAAGGAGTTGCTGTCATCTCGATTAGGTCCGAAATCAGAGATACCTAAAATTAGTCTTGGCAATCGAGAAGTAGATAAAAACTATAATTGGACTGACTCCTTTGCAAATTATGAAGAATGTGGTACCATCATAGATTTTGAAAACTACATTGATGAAATGAAAAAAAAAGAAGAGCAAAAGGATGTTGATATGGATGCTTTACCTGACATAAATTTGAGTAATGACCAAAGAGAAATAATTGACATAGTCACAACAGCTATAAACAAGATGAATGCATCTGTAAATAACACATGCAGTAATACCTTCCTGAAAAGAATAATAGTACAAGGAAAAGCAGGTAAATATACTAATTAAATAATTTCATTTTTGGCTGAGCGATTAGCGAAGCCCATTACTCCACTGACCGGAAAAGTTTCATTCTGTTTGTCTGTCTGTCTGTCTGTTTGTCTGTCCGCACGATAACTCGAGAAAGAATTGAGAGAGCGATCTGGGAATTTCAGGGTCGTTTTGTATCATAAAAAGACAGATCGAGTTCGAAGATGAGCATTCTAGCTCAAAAATTGCCTTTTTTAAAAATCAAAAACCGCAGGTTGCAAAATATTCCTTTTTTCCAAATATTTTTTTATGGGCTCCTAAGGGGTAACTCGTAAAAGTAGAGCCCTTTGGGCAAAAATTCCGTCCGTTTTGCTCTATCTTGTACCGTTTTGGCGCTATTGGGCATTTCTTGGCGAAAATAACGTAAACAAGACAAAATGGTCTATTAAATCGTAAAAAAGGCTTCATGTCACAGAATTGTAAAGGGAGTAATACTTAGACCCCACGTTACGGGTCGAACCACACCCTCTTTTGGGCTTAAGGGTCCCTAGATTATCTACTACCACTAAAACGTTGATTTTTACATAACAATCTCACAAAATTCGATTTTTAATGAAAACCGTTACAGAACAGCAGAAGTTCCATGTCCCTAATTTTAGAGTAAGAAGACACCGACAAATGGTTCGAGTATGTCAAATTTTGGGCCCGGAAGACCCTGTTCCCCTATACCCTCTCCTGAACTCGTAGCGGGTGTCAGCGCCGCAGGCCTAGCTATATGTGCGCCAGGCGCGTCGCAGCGTAACAGTATTTCGTGAGATATCGCGAAGCCTGTTACGCGAGACGTGGTCTGGCGTACATATAGCTAGTTAAAACATGTATACATTAACTTATTTGTTCAATTCTTAACAGACTAATCTATGTTTCAATTATTGGCTGAGCGATAGCGAAGCCTATTACTCCAGTGATGATCAAAAAGTTTCGCGTCTGTCTGTCTGTCTGTCTGTGTGTCTGTCTGTCATCACGATAACTCGAGAACGAATTGAGCTAGCGACCTGGGATTTTTAGGGTCGTTTTGTGTCATAA